AAAAGGAGCAGGTGGGAAGGGAGCAGAGTGGATCCTGGGGAAAAGCTGAGGCCTGGGAATTGGGGGGAGATGGAGAGGGGATACCTGAACACCACTGGGCATGAGGTGGAAGAGGGGGAGGAAGTGATGGATGACACTGATGTGCAGCCAGAGATGGTGCTGAGGTGAAGGGCAGGGGTCTGGGGCTAAATCAGGGTGGGGGCGAGGTTAGCATTGGGTGGGGAGAGGAAATTGATGGAAGAGTTGGATTACAAGTTGGATGCAAGGGTCATGGTGTGGGTGTCAGGCTGGGCACACTCACGTCAATGGAGCAGCCCAGCAGAGAGCCACGCTCCAACGCCTTGAGGATGATTTGGTAGAGGTCACTGGGTGCCTTGCGCAGCTCGTACCACTCGGTGACCCCGCCTGTGAAGTCCTCAAAGCCCTCGGAGGTGCTGCCCCCCGAAAGGGCCTCATAGCTGCCATTGACCCTGTGGGCAGCTCCAGGTCAGCACTGTGACATTGAGCAGGACCAGGTAAGAGGGCCAGGGTCCCCCACCCCCAGGGGTGGGGCAAGAGCTGTCCCCAGGAGCTCTGCTCACTTGGCATAGGCCTTCTCCAGCAGGGCGCTCCAGAACTCGTTGCCTTGGTCAGAGTGCACAAACAGCAGCTTCCCGTCCTTGGTGGGCAGCAGGTCATCCACGACCACATCCACCCACTCCCCAAACTGCCATAGCTGCAGGGAAGGAGACACAGTGAGTACCTGCTGTGGGATTCCCCCACGCCTGAGCTCCATCCTCAGTTTTGCTACTAACTAGATACATGATCTTAGATCACATATAGTAGATACTTATGCAATATGTACATACTAGATACATACAAACTTGATGTGTACTAGGAATACATATACTGACATACACCAGATACATGTATACAGCCCTCTACATCTACAAGTTCCACATCCATGGATTCAACCAACTACAGACAGAAAATTGATTTAATTTTTTTTTTTTTTTTTTTGCAGTGCTAGGGATGGAACCCTCATGCTACAAGAAGGCTCTACCCCAATCTGCGTTCCCAGCCCCCGAAATATTTTTTAATGCATTTGTGTTGAAAATGCACAGACTTTTTTCTAGTCATTCCTAAACAATACCGAACAACTATTTATATGGCATTTACATTGCCTTGGTATTGCAAGTCATCTAAACATGTCTTACAGTATATAGGAGGATGTGGAAGATCTGTGTAGGTTATATGAAAATATTACATTTTTTTACATAAAGAACTTGAGCATCCATGGATTGTGGTGTCCATGGGGGTCCTGGAACCAGTCCCCTGCAGACATGGAGGGACAACTGCACTGCACACGTGATCCTGGACAAGTTACCCTCTCCGAGCCTCAGTTTCTGTACCCATTAAAGGGAGCAGCAGTGCGTTCCTCACAGGAAAGTTAAGCAAGATTATGCAGTCGTCTTTAGCTCACCATGGAAACAGGACAGACCTCCTCAGACACAGAGGGGGTGGAAAGCCATCTGGCCAGGGCTCTTCCCAAAACCAACTGCTTTTTAGGCCATACCTCTACTCTCCCAGTTCTAGGCCGGAGTGTAGGGGTTAGTGGGATCCATATAAATATATTGAATGTGGACCCATATCCTCCAACCACTGATGGGAGGCCGGTTCACGCGGGAAAGGGTGGGGCTCAGGCCCAAGACAGAAGCCAGAAGCTTCCCTGTGCTCCAAGCACAACAGTGGGGGGCGGCCCAAAACAATAGGAGGAGAGAAGGCGGGCCCAAGGAGCTGGAATTGATGGCGGGGAGTGTTACACGGACCAATAAGAGGCCAGGGAGGAGAGGATTGGATGAATGAGGGAAGGGGCGGGGCAGCCACGCCCCTGCGGACTAAAGCAGGGCAGGTGCGGCAGTCTGCCAAAGTGGCTCCGCAGAAGTTGGTATGGCAGCCACTTCTGTGCAAGTTGGGTAAGGGGCTCCCTAACTAGGCGGAAGGAGGCGACACCCAGGAGTCCTCCACACATGGCTGGGACCACCAAGGCAAGAGGGTCTCGACTACAGTTGCTGAGTTGTCTCTCCCAATTGGAGCTCATTGAGGATTCATTAGTGTGTCTGGAGAAAGGGTCCTGTCGCAAACGTCAAGAAAAGCTGGTTTAAACAGACTTAATCCTGAGCCTTTTCTGCTAGTCTGTGTCAGAGGTCGCCAAAGCACAGGAGCTGGAAGATGGGAGGATTGACAATTGGAGATGACCACCTTTCCCCCAGCACTCTTTTTTGTCAGATGTGGAAACTGAGGTCCAAGTCGGGAAAGGTTTTTTCCCCACAGGGCATAACACAGAATTTCTTCTACTTTTCCAAACACTTTCTCCCTGCTACTCAGAACCACCCAGGAAAACTGCCAGTTGAAATACCTGCCCAACTGTTTCACACATGACAGATCTGAGATGGCACTGAGAGGTCAAATACCTCTCAGAGGGAGGGCTGCCCCCGCAGGGTGTGGCCACTAGCCACCTTAACTTGGAGTGCGGTGGTCATCCTTCCATATATCCCCCAGTGCTTCCTTTCCCCCCTCCCCAGCGTGTGCGGGGCCCTTCACCTGGAAATGGAAGATGCCCGCATAGCCATCCTGGAAGCTCTGGCCATGAGGAACCACTCGGTGCAGGAGGGTGTCATTGAGGGTGAGGGAGGCAATGGCAGCCAGCAGCCAACAGTCCCCTGGGATGGGAAGGACTCATGTCAGGCCTGTTCTAGGATCTGCCCCTGGGGGTGGCGAGGTGTGCTCATGGATATCCATGTTGAGGAGAACCTGGGATTCCCTGGATGGGGTGCCTATCAACTGCCCTTAGCTTACAGAAAAGACCCAGGAATCTGGGCAAACCAGCCCCAGTGCTGATAGCCAAAGCCTGTCTGGGCTTGCAGGAGGGAGGGGTTGGGGTAGAGCCCAAAGGAACGGGAACGGGAATAGGGAACTACTGTGGCAAAAACACCCAGACCTCCCCACCCCCAAGAGGCCTACCCAGTGCTCCCTGGCAGATGTCTGTGCGAGTAGCTCCATCCACGATGAACTGCGGATTTGACAGCATCTCCTACGAGACCCAGAGTCCTGTCCCTGAGCTGGTCCCTCCTAGAAACTGACACCCCACCACCAAGACCCCACTCCCCACCAGGAACCTGGTGTCCCATTCCACTCCTCACCCAATAAGAATCCCACCCAAGGATGGCCCTCTCACCGTGGGACGCTTCCACTTGATGCCATAGGTCTTAGAGGAGTTGGGACCTAGTTCCTTGTAGCCCAGGCTCTGGGGCACTGGTGGGAAGGCCTCATCTCGGAACAGGGCCCCACTCTGCAGGCATCGGGCCCGCAGCTGTTCATAATCCTGGCCCAGGTATTTGATGGCGTTCTCATGGCGGCCCAGGCCCAGCTCCTTGGCCCGTAGCTTCTGCACCTGGGCTGACACCCCAGTGCAGTACACGGGTGTGATGATCTCCTCTGCCATCCTGTGGTACAGACCAGCTCAGTACCCATGTCTGCCAGGACCAGAATCCAGCTCCTGCCTGCTAGTGCTGCTCTTCCACCTCTGCACACCTTATTCCCCAGACCCTGGTGTCCCCCGCCACTTCACTGCCCCCACAGCACTCAGGCTCTCTGCAGCCTCCCTAGGCTCCAGAATCCAGCAGAAGGCTCCGCAGTTCCAGGGTATGCTAACCACAACCTCTCCTCCTCCCCACTGCCATTGTTCTGGGCCTGCAGCTCTGTGGTCAGCCAGCCAGCCAGCCAGCCAGCCAGGTGGGGTAGGGTGGAGCCCTGAAGTAACACAGGGATCTGGGAAGGTGTGTATGGAACCCCAGGGAAGGTCTTTTTGATCCCGTTGGCCAGCCTGTAACCCCCTCTCCAAACTGGCCAGCACCTTGCTCACCGGCCCCTTTCTGGCTTGGGAAGTGAGAACTCCAGGCAGACGGCCCCCTCCACAGACCACCCGAAACCCACAGAGCTGCTAAATTCCAGCCCAGCCCCTGGGGACAGTAGTGAGTGCAGGATGGGGCGAGTGCCTGGGCTGTGCCGCTTCCCGAATCCTCTGCCCCTGACCCAGGCACGCCAAGGGCCCAAGTAAAGGCCATCTGAGGAGCCCCTCTGCCCCCGAGCAGTGGCCAGGGTGAGAATCGCGGCCAGCCACCCAACTCCTTACCTGGAGGAGGGGAGGTTGGGGGTCGCTGCGGTCCCAGCGGCTGGCTTCGCTGGTGGCAGCTCAGGGCAGGGCCCAACCAGGAAGAGCGCTCCTCCCCGCCCTCCTCCCGCCGCCCTCCTCCCTCCCTCCTTCTCCTCCTCCTCCTCCTGGGGCTCCTACCCCGCTTCCTCTCGACTCTCCCTTATCTCTCGGGCACCTTCTTTGACTATCTCTTACTCATGGTGTCTCCCCGCCCCTCCCTCCGCAGGCCCGGGCCAACTCCGCGTGAGGACAAATTAGCAAAAGGCAGAGTTGTCCCCGGGGAAGGGCCCGCGCCTGTCGGGGTGGGAAGGGCTGGGCCCTGGCGGAAGGGCACTGCGGGGGCGGGGAGGGGAGAGGAGAGAGGGGACCGGAGGGCAGGGGGTATTTTTAACCGTGGGCAGCAGCTCGGGTTGCAGGGCCAGCGGCCCCACCCTCGCCGCCCTCCGGGCGGGCACTCCGGGGCGACCGGGCCGCGGCGGCGCCGCCCCCAGCCCGCCCCCAGCGCCCCTCACTCCGCGCGGTGCCGCGGCAGCTGTCCTCGCCCCTCCCTGCTGGCCCTTGCGCGGGGCTGAGATTACCTCGGGCTGCGGCAGCTGCTCGCAGCAGGGGCCAGGCTGGCGGCAAGCGGACCCCTACCGGACACTCGGCAAACGGCAGCCCCACCCGGTCTCTCCCCGCAGCAGCCGGGCTCCGGGGCTGGGCCGACTCCCGCCCCCACCCACCCCCGCGCCCTGGGGCGCAAGTCCCGGCCGCCACCCACCCCAGTGGCTCCGTGCGTCCCGGCGGGGCGCGGGGAGCCGGCCCTTTAGGCCCCGACTCGCTGCGTGACCTTGGGTAAGTCCCGGCCGTGCTCGGCCTTGATTTCCCGGTTCGTGCAGCGAATGGGATGCAAAGACGCAATGGTGGGAGCCCATCTTGCGGTTTCCTGAACCAGGATACTGCGGGAGGTGGACACCTGCCCTCTCCCGCAAGCCCTCTGTGCACCCAACGGGGAGCGCCCTTGTGCCGCCTTACCCAGAAGAGGGCGTCAGAGGCCCACCCGGGACCCGCAGGTTATGCCTGGTGGACTGCAAAGGGAGACCCTGAAGAAGGGGACGGGGCTTCAGTGATCCTGCAGCTCAGGGCTCTTCAGTGGTATGCGGGTCCCAGCCCGGCAGTTGCTGAAGCATTTTGTGCATAGCTTTTCTGGGATCCTAGGGTCCATGACCCCAGCAGAAGTTAAGAGCCGCCTATGTAATGGACTCCACTCTCATCCTCAGTTTACAGATGAGGAAAACTGAGGCCTGCGGGGGTGTGGCTTGCCGGAGTTCCCCCACCTGGTGAGTCAGGGCTGAAAACAGCTCCTGGGCTCTTCGCCCTTACCATTCTGCATTCTCGTGGCCACTCTTGGTTAAATTCTGCAGGTCTTCGCGCAGCAGAGACCCGTGATTGAGGCCATCAGTCCCTGCTGGTAGAGGGTGCTCTCCTGATCCAATTTTGGGGGTCATGGTAGCTGAGTCGTGATTATGGACAAATAGGAATTAAGTCAACAATGTGGACAAGGTTTCCTAGCAGAAAGAACAGCAGAGGGAAAGTTCTGAAGGCTGAGGGGACACAAGCCAGAAAGTCCAGCTACAAGTGTTCCTTGTGGCTGGATATCAGGAAGCAGAAGTCTGAGAGAGGAAAGATGTGCAGGGGAGATTGCAAAGACGGCCCGTCCCCTCAAAGCCTTCTGACTCAACCCATGAGTCCCAGAGCCGCCACTGTGACTTGCACAAACCTCCCCACTCCTGCATATTGCACTTGGCTTTCCCCAGATGGGCACTGACCACCTTCTATATGGGCAGGGCACTGTGCTCACCTGGGTATGGGTGGTGAGGACTCATGGCTTCGAGGGGGCCAACACTGAACTTGTTTTTTGTTTGTTTGTTGTAGATAGACACACAATATCTTTAAGTATTTGTATGTGGTGCTGAGGATCAAACCCAGCGCCTCACACATGTGAGGCAAGCGCTTTACCGCTGAGCCCCAGCCCTGAACTTGCTTTTACACCCATAATTAATTGAGAAGAAAGTTGGTGCAAAGGATGCACTTACCTGAAACCTGATCTTGTCCAGGAGTTAGAGGAAGTATTAGATGCAGGGAGTTATGGTGGCGAGGAGGAGGTGAGGTATGGGAATTGCCTCTAGGAGTCTCAGCACAGGGAGGAACTGGAGTATGCTTGTCACTTAGAGTCAGAAGGCAAGGGAGAGTGGCGCCCCTGAGCTGGCCAGCAGAGTTTAGATTTCAATCTACTTGAAGTAGAAGGCTGATCAGATTTGTACAAACAAAGAAGGCTGCATAGCAATGGGTTGAGGAGGCAAGAGAGGGAGGAGGGCGTCTAGGCACCAGAGCACTGCAGATATCCAGGGGCAGAGAATGTGGCTCAAGCTAGGAAGGTGGCAAGGTCGGGGGTGGGGCTTGCAGTAGACTATTGATGGAGCATGATAAAATAGGGCCCCCAAAGCTCCTGCCCTTCTTCAGGGGTCTTGGGTGAACACTGAGGAGGGGAGATTCTCAGTGTGTTAGGGAAATGAGAAGGGGCAAGGATTCCCTATGGCTGAGGGCCTTTCTCTTCCTCCTGTGATTTTTTTTTTTTTGGGGGGGGAGGTCTATCTGTGCTGCCCCACATTGCCTGGCCTCAAACTCCAGGGCTCAAGTGATCCTTCTGCCTCAGCTTCCCTAGTAGCTGGGACTCTAGGTGCACCGCAGAAGTTCTTGCTGCATCTTTATTGGGTTATATTTGCTTGTTTGATTGTGATGGGGTCTCATTATGTTGTCCAGGTTAATCTCAAGAGAACCTCCAGCCTCAGTCTCTCAAGGAGCTGGGACTCCAGGCATGCCACCATGCCCAGCTCCCTCTCATGCTCTTGCTGGGACTGGTGGTCCTGGAGGCTTGTATTCCTGAAGACCCTGTGGACCATAAGATCCACACCCTGATATCCATCTCTTCAGAGACAGCCTTGGGGAGCCTCTGAGAAACCTGCTGCTATCTCTAGATAGACTGAACTGACCTCTGAGGGGACATTCAGCCAGTGTCTGCTACAGAACTGATTGCTTTCTTGGTATGTAGGGAAAACCCCTCACACATCCGGGGTCAGAGCCATCTGGGTTTCGAGCAGACTGCTGGAGAAAGTGAGTCTGCTTTTTCCACTCATGGGAATATTTTTAATTTTTTTCTTCTTTAAAAGACTTTTTTTTTTTTAGATCAGTTTTAGACTTGCAGGAAAATTACTGAGAAAGGACAGAGTTGCCTTATATCCTCCCTCCCTCCAGCAGCTGTTCCTGTTAATATCTTGCATCCATCTGGGTGGCATCTTCGTTACAGTTGCTGAAGCAATATTGATGCAACGTTATTAACTAACGCCTATCCTTTACCTTAGGGTTCATTGTAAGTTGGTGGGTTCAGACGAATGAGTAATGTCATGTATTCACCACTACAGCATCAGAGAGAAGTTTCACTGCCCTAAAAATGCCCTATGCTCAGAATAGAAGTACAGATTTGGGGGTTACTGACCATTGGTGCCATTGGAAAGAAGTAAAGGCTGGGGGTAGACACCTCATTCTGATATGAAAATACCTCATAAACATGTCAGTTCTGCTTAAATAGTCTATAAATTAACCACAATTAAGATTACAAGAGGGGACTGGGGTTGTGGCTCAGTGGTAGAGCACTTGTCTCACATGTGTGAGGCACTGGATTCGATTCTCAGCACCCCATATTAATAAGTGAATAAAATAAAGGTCCATCAACAACTAAAAAAAAAAATTTAAAGGCAGGGGCAGCTAGGTGTGTTGCTACACATCTGTAATCTCAGCAACTCGGGAGGCTGAGGCAGGAGGATCCCAAGTTCAAGGCCAGTCTCAGCAACTTGGTGAAATCCTATCTCAAAATAAAAAATAAAAAAGGACAGAGGACAGTGGCTAAGCACCCCTGGGTTCAATCATTGGTATCAGGAAAAAAAAAAAAAAGTGGGGATGGGACAATCTAGGGGAAAAAATAAAGTTGGATTCATAATTTGCATCTTAGAAGAAGTTCCAAATGAACTCAAGATACAAATGTAAAGCAGGAAAACAAAAATCTAGGGCTGGGGATGTGGCTCAAACAGTAGCACGCTCGCCTGGCATGCGTGCGGCCCGGGTTTGATCCTCCGCACCACATACAAACAAAAATGTTGTGTCTGCTGAAAACTAAAAAAATAAATATTAAAAATTCTCTCTCTCTCTCTCTCTTTAAAAAAAAAAATCTATAACTGGGAGCTAAAGGAGAAGTCTTTGTAAACATCTCAGTGTGGAAAAAGGTCTTTTAAACTATGACACACTCAGAACATAAACATAACACTCAGAAGCCATAAAGCTTGCTTGCTTTATTTATTTATTTTATTTCTTTTTTGCATTGTTGGGCATTTAACCCAGGGCTTCACACATGCTAGGCAAGTACTCTACACTGAGGTACATCCCCAGGCCAAATTTTATTTTTTGCTTTTAAAAATCTATACAAGGCTGGGGGTGTAGGCAGTTGAAGAATGCTTGCCTAGCATGTGTGAGGCCCTACATACCGTCCCCAGTACTGTACCACAAAACAAAAACCATGCAGGGGATGAGGATGCAGTTCAGTGGTAGAGTATGTGCTTAGCATGTTCAAGGGCCTGAGTTCAATCCATAGCATCACACAAACACACACAAACCATCTATACTGTGCTGTAGTTTGGGATCTGAAATGTTCCCCAAAAGCTCATGTGTAAAGGTTTTTTGGTCCCAGACACAGCAATGTTCAGAGTGGTGCTCTGGGGAAGTGGTTGGATCAGGAAGACGCTGACCTCATCAATGGGTTAATCCATTAAGGGATTCAGAGCTGAATGGACTGGTGGGAGGCGGCAGGACTGTAGGAATTGGGACCTAGCTGAAGGGTGTGGGTCCTGGTGTGGCTTGTCCTTGTGGACTATATCTTGTCCCTGGCCACTTTGTTTCTCTTTGCTTCCCATCTGCTATGAGGAGAGCAGCCTCCTCTGCCACAGGCTTCTGCTGCCATGATGCTCTGCCTTGCCTTGGGCCCCCAAAATGGAGCCAGCCAAGCATGGATTGAAACCTGGAAAACTTTCCTCCTTCATGTTGTTTTTCTCAAGTATTTTGCCACAGTAACAGAAATCTGACTAACACAGCAATGTCAAAGGATGAACTGAAGAAAATAGGATAATTAGTATTTTAAAGGGCTATTTTTCTCCATTTGTAGAAAAAGAATTCTTATCTGTCAATCAGAAGCCAGAATCATTAAACATAAGAAAAGACACTTGAACTCACTGAAAAAAAAAATAAGTATGAACTAACACTTCACCAAGAAATCATTTTCCACTTAATTTTTCAACAACAAAAAAAATCTGAGCAGGGTGGGGCACGCCTGTAATTCCAGTGGCTTGGGAGGCTGAGGCAGGAGGGTCCCAAGTTCAAAGCCAGCCTCAGCAAAAGTGAGGCGCTAAGCAACTCAGTGAGACCCTGTCTCTAAATAAAATACAAAACAGGGCTGGGGATGTGGCTCAGTGGTCGAGTGCCCACGAGTTCAATCCCTGGTACAAAAAAAAAAAGAAAAAAATCTGGTACTTCATGGGTTGGTGAGAATTCTGGAAAAATCAAGCCTTTCTTATGTACTACTGGAGGGGTGGTGAATAGCCAGAGGGACATTTGGCAAAAAAAAAAAAAAAAGACAATTTGGGCTTATTCATTGGCAGAGCAATTTTTAAAATTTACCCTACAGATAATTTTTTTTTTACATGTTCATGACATCCTTACAAAGTCACTCACAGAAGCTCAGCTTGCAGTAGCAGAAGCCTGCTATTAAGTGAAGAAACAAGTATGGGTCAGTAAGGGACTAGTTACTTTATAACTACTTGTATCTAAAAATGGAAATATAAAAAGGGACATATGGATAAAAAAAATTAAAAAATATGTTGCTAGGTCAGCAGCAGGATGCATGGAATTCTACCAGAGTTTAATAAAAAGCGGTGAGAAACAGATGCATATTTGGTTCAGTGATTTTTCTGATACTTCTGACACAAAATATCAACTTTCCAGCATGGACCATGTTCACAATTCCATTCCTTCTGTCACCATCCTGGAACCTGTAACAGACCCAACAGGTTAAGAGTTCCATCTCACCGGCCACCCCCACTTCTGCCCAGCTAACTAAATTTGAAGGTTCCTAAATCATTCCTTGGGCTTGGCAATGTGGTGGAAGGCTCGCAGCACTCAGGAGAGTGTTTGACTCACTGTTACTGGTTTATGATAAAGGAAGCAGGTCAGGAACAGCTAGATGGAAGCTGGCACCAGGTGAGGTATGGGGTTAGGGTGCAGAGTTGCCCTCTCCTGCTCCCAGCACACCTGTGTTCAAAGTGTTTGTCTCTTCAGTATCCCCCACTCAGAGTTGCCACCCTTGAGTGGGTCTTGGCGCAGTCTCCTTATGAATAATTCAGGGACTTTTATGAACGGCAAAAGATTCTTCTATTGCCCTGAAATTCCATAGGTCTTAGGAGCTCTGTGCCATTTAGATGTGTGTGCATGATTATAATGCCACATTTGATGATGTATGTTTGGATTCCTTCCTGAAAGGATGTAAGAAACTCACTTTCATTGCCTCTAGGGCAGGGACCAGGAGGCGGGGAGTTGAGGGAATAAGGGGACTCTTGGTTCACAATGTACATGTGAAATATTGCCTATTTGAAATTCAGTACTGTTTTGAGGGGCTACTGAGGAGTGGACCCAGGGCACCCCGCATGCTAGGCGTGCACTTCCATGCAGCTGCATTCCCATCCTCCAATACTTTTTAGTCCTTAGCTTCGTTTCTAACGTCCTCAATCTCTAGGCTTTTAAAATTCTCCCCAGTTCTGAGGATTGAGCCCAGGGATGCTCAGGAACCCAGGAGTTCCCCACCCCATTTTTAAGTTTTATTTTGAGACAGGATCTCAATAAGTTGCTGAGGCTGGCCTTGAACTTGCCATGCTCCTGCCTCAGCTCAAGTAGCTGGGATTCCAGGCGTGCACCTGGCTGGCATCTCCAGGCCTTCTTACTCTGCCCCTTGAGATCCACTCTAGAGCGGGCAAGTAACTCCATCAGACTTGTAGACTTCTCCCCACTCCCCACTTGTTCCATCCCCTCTGTGAACAGCCACCCCTGCTGGGCTCACTACTTCCACACCTTCCCTCCCCTCTCCTCAGACAGCATCAGAACCCTCCTGGGATTAACCCATTCAAATCTCAACACTCATTGCAAAACAATACCCATGTGACAGGCCAGGCAACAGAGGCACAAGACTTGAAATAACAAGCAGGGACCTGGAATTTGAAATTAAACTGTTTGGCTCCAAAGGGCAAGTGGTAACCACTGCCCTAGACTACCCTCCCATGAACATCCAGGCCCAGTTAAATGTGCCTCCTCTGGGAAGCCTTCCTTCTCCTTCAGTAGCAAGAAATTTACTGAGTGCTCAGTATGCCTTTCCTTTGGGGGAGGGGGAGGGAACTATATGATAATAATCACTACATTATATTATTATTTAAACATTATTATTCCTAAATATCCTCAAGTCTGACCCTGAAGACATTTCTGACCTGGCCACAGAGCCATTTTCCATTTAAACTTTACCCAGTAGGTTTGGGGGCCCCTTCTTAGGGCTGCGAGTATCCCAGCTCATTGAATCCCAGCTACGCTGTGTAGAGCGCCTTGTTCATAGATGGTGTATGTTACAGAAGGGAAACTGAGGCTCAGGACGACAGAGACCGGCCGCCACGGGAAGAGGAAGAGCTGGTTCAAAGCCTGTGCTCACAGGTCCTAACACTTTGACCCTCTTACTGTCACACTGGGTCAAGGAACCAGGCCAGACCTAAGCATTTGGTGTCCTGTAGACACACGTTAGTTAGAGGATCAGGACCAGAGCGGGTACACATTGTTAGGAGGAAAGGGTAGGGGCAGGGGCAGTGCTGCCACCTAAGGCCCACCAGACAGGAGGCTGGGGGTGGGGGTGGACACATGTTACATAGGGGAGTAGACAGGCGGGCAGCTCTTCAGCTGCAGAACTCAGTCCCCAGGTGTGTTGGAGGCTTGGGGAAGACTGGGAGGGGCCACAGAGTGAGCCTGGAGGGGAAACTGCCCCCCTCCCACATCCTGTTGGTCCCACTCCCACCCCCCAGGTCCCCAAGCCGACCCTCCTCAGCTCCTGTCTCCAGCTCATTGTGGAAGGTGTAGGTGCCCAGCTCTAGCTGCATCTGGGGGGCAAGACAACAAGGAAGTCCTCACCCCAGAGGTTTTTGGCCACTGAGAAGCAATTTTGGCAGCAGGGTGGATGGCACTCAGAGATCAGGGAAGGGCAGCTGGATGAGGTGTGGGAGGTCACACCTGAGATGCTGGGGCAAACCACACAGGCCACAGTGTGGGGGTAAATGGCCAGGGTCCCGGGGTGTAATGGTTAATGTGAATCATCAACTTGATTAGATTAATATATTCCAAGGATTAGGAGGGTTATGGGTTTGTCAATGAGACTCTGTCTAGGAATGATTGGCATGTGGAATAGCCAACTGAAATGGAGACCCTCCCTAAGCGTGGGCAGCACCAACCGATAGGATGATGGCTTGGATGGAATAAAAGTTGGAAGAACCAGGCAGCAGCAGATGCAAGCTCAATTCTTCTTGAACAGGTTCTTGATTACTGGTGTGATCGTCTGAGGATATTAGACTCTCGCTTCTTCACTTTTCAAAGTGGATTCTCAAGAAGCCTTTGGTCTCAGACTAGGGTAGAACTGATCCCTCTTGTTCTGGGGCTTCAGCATCTTAAACTGCCCAGCTACTGGTTCCCCCAGCTCTCCAGCCTGCAGATGGCCATTTTTGTGGACTATCACTTCTGGTCACATATGAGAACCTAATAAGGCCCCCTTTTATAATTATACTTCTTGTTGATTCTGTTCCTCTAGAGAAGCCTAATACATGGGGTAAGGGGCCCCGGGCCTGACAGCAATCCCTCTGAACTTCACCATGGTGGGGACACCACTTCCGAGTCCAGGCCCAGTGGGTTGGCTTGTTGGCCATGACCTGGGAGGAGTAGAGTGGACAGTGAGTTGGGATGGCAGCCCAGCCTCACCCGCTCACAGCGCTGGCTTAGAAGCCCATTCGTGCCCACAGTATGTCCCTTGAGTCCTAGAACTTCCCCACCCGGGAATGCCAATCTTCCCCCAGGGCCCGTGGGAAAAAAATCTCGCATTTAGGTTTCTCCAAGTCCTCCTCCATCTCATTTGCTAGGAACACAAGGGCATGAGGTCAAGGGTCAAGTCTATGGCCTCCGCCCTGTCCTATCCTACCATACCCTCACCCTCAGGAGTGTCCCACTGCCCACTCCTGCCACTCATAGTGCCAAGAACTGCTGTGGTTGTGCTCACAGAGCGTCAGGTTAGCACACCGGAAGGAGACCAGCCCCACAGCCAGGAGGAACTGCAGACAGGCTGGGGCAGCCAGAGGCCCTGGGGATGAGGCCAGCAGCCAGGTTCCTTCACACCCCAGAGGTTTTGGACAGGGAAGAAAAGACAGTAAAATGAGGGGCCCAGCAAAGATAAGGGGAAGGGTTCCCCCAACAGTCCAGGGGACCCAGCAGCACTGAATCCCATTAAGTCAACCTTCTACTCAAGTGACCCCAGCCTCTACACCCCACTTTGTTTCCTTACTGTATCTGAAATCTGGAAGCAGGTGTCTTTGGAGAGGAACTCCTGGAAAAAGCTGTCCTCTGGAGGTAGAGAAGAAAAACAGGGGACACAGGTCATGCCCCATAGATAAAATGGTCAAAGCCCAAACCACCACTGAACCCATGTTCTGACAAGATTCCCCTCCCACCTGCCACACCTGTCCAGAGAGGCTTGGGAGGCCGGCTTGAGCAGAGCAGGACCCTGCCTTCCACAGCTCTTTGTATTCTTGACCCCATCACCCCTCCCATGCCAGCCTCCCGGAAACTCACACAGAATGTTGAGGAAGGCCTGGACTCCTGGCCCTGGTGGGGATGAAGAAACCCATTACCCGCCCCCCCTTGTTGGCTGCAGTCCCCCAACTTCCCTGGGTGATAACCACGGGAACAATGGCAGGGTCTCCGGTATCACTTATCTCATAGGGAGTAGGAGTAGGGTGGGGCAGGGTGGAGCAAGGGGACCTGCAGATACAGCAGCCTCAGGACTTGGTACCTATACAATGACCTCCCACAAATCAAAGAGGAAGGTGAGGCTGGCCAGAAAGAGGACCAGGAAGGTGGAGGGCAGGGTGCAGAGACTCAAGGATTCAGAACAGAGGGCACCTGGGAGGCCTGACAGATGGGAAGGCCAGGAAAGAAGCAAAGATCTGCTGAGGACTGCAGCACCCCCACCCTCCTCCTGGTGCACGGACCAGAGAGTAACAGCAGCAGCAAGCACCTCCTAGGTGCTTGGGACTGTGCTAAAAGCTCTAAGGGCTTCATCTTACTGCCCCCTGGGAGGCGGGTGTAACAGGGACCTATTTTGCAAAGGAAGCAACCAGGCTTCAGTTAGGTGAAGGTGGAACCCACATATTCAAAAAGCCTGAGAACTTTCCCCTTGCTGCCCAGATCTCAACCACCTCCTACACCAAAGAGTTGGAAGGGCACATGCCCCCTATATCAAGGGGGAACTGAGGACCAAAGAGAATGACATCAAATAGCTGGATTTAGAAAAAGTTGAGATTGGGGCCTCCTCAAACTATGGTTTGTTTTTTTGTCGTGATGGGGATTGAATCTAAGGGCACTCTGTCTCTGAGCCGCAGCCCCAGCCCTTCCCCCAACCCACCTTGTGGTGCTTAGGATTCAACCCAGGGCCTTCTGCATGCGAGGCAAGCACTCTACCAACTGAGCCACATCCCCAGCCCTATTTTGTATTTCACTTAGAGACAGGGTCTCACTGAGTTGCTTAGCGCTTCACTTTTGCAGAGGCTGGCTTTGAACTCGCAATCCTCCTGCCTCAGCCTCCCAAGCCGCTAGGATTACAGATGCACGCCACAGCGCCTGGCTCAGTTCTTAATATTTTTTAAAATTTAAGACAGGGTATTTTTAAATTACTGAGGCTGCCCTCCACCTTTCGAGATCCACCTCAGCCTCCTGAGTCGCTGGGATTACAGGTTCGCGCCACCAAGCCCAGTTCCTCATTTTCAAGCTGCTTCCCTAACCTTCCCTTAACCTTTCACAGAGATGCCAACCAAGGGGCTCTGGAGAAGGTGCCAACCACCCCTCTTCTCCCCCCACACCCCAAGGTCAACCTGGGAGTCTTCAGCCGGCCTCCCACAAAGCAGGCTCCTCCCTCAAGAAGCCTCACCGGCCAGCAGGAGTTAACCACAGCGTAACTCAGGACCCAGGGCACCTACGCATTTATATATCCCAAGGGTGGACCCCGCCCCGCCCCTCCACCAATCAGAACCCTCCTGGAGAGGGGGGCGTGGCTTGCCCCTCTCCCACCACTTCTACCTGTGAAGCCAGTCACCACCTGCCTTGCAGCTGCGAGGTAAAAGTTTTCCCAAAGCTTCCTCACCCATAAGAGGGGCAGGACTGCTGGACCCCGGGGCCTGAAACCCCTACAGGACAAGAAGCTAAAACATCCTCCTTTCTCCCACCACGCTGTACTTGGGAATAAACCCAAGGGCTCTCTATCACTGAGCTATACCCCCAGCCCTTTATTTTTTGAGACAGGGTCTCTCTAAATTGTTGAGGCTAGTCTCGAACTTGAGATTCTCCTACCTCAGCCTCCTAAATTGCAGAGATTACATATGTAGGTGTTGTTAGTAGCTTTACTTCACAAAGGAAGAAGCAACCACTAAAATGCAGTGTTGTCTCCAGAGAGGTTAAGTAATTTACTTCCAGTCACACAGCCAGTAAACAGAAAGTCAAGTTTCCACCTAGCTGTCTGGCCCGGTCTTCACAAAGGGATCTGAGGGTCCTTCTGTCTGTTTCAAGACTGATTCTGAACAAAGCCTGACCTAGAGAAGGTTTTGAGTAAAACCCAGTAGTGAACCCCAGACCGGCTGTGTTCACCCCATCTCCTGTCTACTGATAATGCTAGAGATTGGAAAAGAATGCAGAAAAGAAGCCCTAGGTTTGTAGGGTATGCAGCTTGGTGGTAGACCATTAGCCTGACATGTGTGGGGGGTGGCGGGGAGAAGAGGAGGGAGGAGAAAGAAAAGAAAAAAGTCTGTTGATTAAGTACAGACTCCTCAGCAGTAGTGTGTTCCAGTCTGCAACCTTCTTCCCCCTCCCCCGGCTTCTCGTGTGATTTTTCCCACTAGGAAGTCAGGCTTGTCATGTAAGAATAAAAGAAATTGAAGTTAAAGTGTAAAAGACCGGGCATTGTAAAGTTTCTAAGCTGCAAGGCCTGAGTTAAAAAGTAAAGGACCAGGTATTGTTAAGTTCCTATGCTACACCCAAAACCTGAAATTCCTGTAGCTGTTAGGACAATACCCGGAACTGCCCAGTAAATATTCCCCCTGACCATCTGGTTGTTTAATAACCTAGGACCCTGTGCGGCTTGGCACGTAGGCATCGCAGGGCCTAAACCAATCAGTTTGAATGTGTACCCCGATTTAGAACTGACCTATCACCCCCACCCGACCTGTTCCCGCCAATGAATGTACTAATCATGTCTAAGAATTGTTGTCTGATTTTCCCGCGCCTCATGATGATTTGCTCTGATGTATGCAAGGCCCCCCGCCCTCCCCAAAAAGTGTACGTAAGCACTGCTCAACCCCTGCTCAGGGCTCTGAGCCGCTCTCCCTTGTTGAGTGAGCACGGAGCCCCAGCGCGCCGGATTGGATCCTCAATAAACCGCTTTTGCTGTTGCATGAGCCGGTCTCTTGGTGGTCTCTTCCTCTGACGTTCGCTGGACCCTTACAGTCATCCCCAGCCCCCAGACCTGACTTGATCCAATACCTAAGCGTGTTGCTCCTACTTTCTGAATGAATAAATGGCTTACAAGGCCGTGCTGTCCCTGCTGCCCTTGCTCATCTCTCCACCCACAGCCCGGCCCTGGCCCTCTGTCACAACCCACCCTCCAACCAGGACAGTGTACATCTGGAACCTGAGCAGACATGGCGCATGCCCCATCTGAGCAGGAGTTTAAAAGCCCAGTGTGGCTCTGCCATTGCTCTCATCCATCTGCCAGGAGCCTGGTGTCCCCCTGGAAGGGCAGCCTCTCCATCCAGGTTCTGGAATAAAGAGGACATGGAACTGAGTCAGGGCCACACACTATAAGGGGTGTGGAAAATGAGCAAGAAATCGAGTCTTGTTCTTGAGAGCCACAGAGATGCTGGGGTTGTCTATGATTCTGTAGCTCTACTACAGGCAAGACAGCCTGCAAGACTAGATCCCCGCGGCTCATGTCAGGAAAAGCAAACCAAGAAGACCAGAGGCCAGCCTGGCCATGGAGCTCGGTGGCGGAGCACCGCCTAGCACTGATGAAGCCCTGGTTCCATCCCCAGCACTGTCAAGAAAAAAGAAAAAAAAAGACCAGAGGCTCCTATCCCAGCCCGCCCCACCAGCTTGTAGAGAGGCGGTATCTTTCTAGTAAGGCTTGGCTTCCGCCATCCTCCCAGTTCCTACAGAGCAGCAAAGGTGCTCTCCCAGCGGGAGAGGCAGCCTTAGAGACAGAGCTCCGCCGTGTTGCCCTTGGGAACCGGTTTTTCTGGAACAATGCCCGTGAGCACTGTCCAACAAGACGGAGATCTTGACTGACAGCCGTTGAGAGAGCACTCAACATCTCCATACTAGTACAACAAGGAAAGTGGCAGAGCAACCAGAAGAGTGAGAGACAACCAGGGAAGGAGGTGGCCACCAAGGGCCCTAGGGGGTCACAGTCCACCCTGGAGCTGGGAGAGCTGTGGCCACGCACTAGGCTGCACCCACTCACGAACAGTCAGAGCTGCAACCAGACCCTCCACAAGAGGCAGCAGCCAGGCTGGTACAGGGGCTGAAGCATGACCTTGGTTACTCTGCCCTGGTCACCACTCCTAGGAAACCCAGCTTAAAAATAAAACTGCTCCCTGGCAGCCTGGAAGCTCATACACACACAGCAAGGCTGCACTGTCGCACAAGTAGGCAGGGAGGGAAATTGCAAACTACCAGTCCCTGTCCGAACGTGGGCAAAAACACAAACACTCAGCCACAGGAGCAGCCTGCAAGCCACACACTCAACCCCACAGGAGGGAGGGGCTCTGACTCAGGCAGGAAGCCCAAACTCGGACCGATGACTGAGATATGCCGCTCCAGGGCAACCCCGAGGAAGACAAGGTCACCATAAAAATAGGAAAAAACCCTCCGAGCCTAACCATCCTAGGCTACATGCTGCAAGGAAATAGACGTCATGGGGTTAACTCAGGCAGGGCACAAACAAGTGACCAAGCACGCAGGACAGCTGCCCCGAGTCCTGAGATCCGTATCTGGAGTTGCTACAGTGTTATCAAAAATATGCAGTTTTCCACCAAGAAGTCAGAAGACAGGCAAAGGAACTGCCGAGCGCGATTCCTACACAGAAGAAAGGCAGCCACAGACACTGTTTCTGAAGGACGTTGGACTTAGCAGAGGTGGCTTCAGAGCAGCTGTTATGAAAAGTTCAAAGAACCAGAGGAGACCCCACGTGAAGAACTGTAGGCAAATGTGATGACGGTGGCTCATGAAACAGACTCCACTGAAGAGACAACCAAATGGACATGCAGCACCGGAGAGTGCAGCAGCTAAATTAAAAACTCACTGGAGGGCTGGGGCTGGGGCTCAGGGGTAAAACGCTTGCCTAGCATGCATGAGGCACTGGGTTCGATTCCTAGCACCACATACAAATACATAAAATAAAGGTCCATTAACAACTAAAAATATTTAAAATAATAATAATAATAATAATAAAAACTCACTAGAAGAGCTTCACAGAGACTCGGATCAGCAGAAGAATTGGTGAATTCGAAGACAGGCCAATAGAGATTATGGAGTCTGAACAACAAGAGGGGACAAGAAGGGAGAAAATGAACGGAAATTTAGGGAAATGTTAATACTATGTTAATAGATTTTAGAGAAAATATATATGATTATCTTCATAGACACTGAAAAAAACCTATAAAATTCAACATCTCACTTTATTAAAATACTTAATCAAATAGGAATTGAGTGACACT